AAAAAAAAAGTCAGACTAAAATAGCAGCACCTTTGTTAGAGTGAGTGATAAAAACACAAAATAATGTGATATAGAGTAGCTGTTGAACAGAATTATTTCTATCCCCTCGGCAGAGCCCTGTTAATACCTGGATGTCCACGGGGATGTGGAAATAGCCTGGTTATGTTAAATTAGACTTTGGAAGAGTATTGATACAAATAGATATCTGCTTTTCCCCCATCTCTTACATCTTTCTCTCTGGTTCCTCTCACACCCACGTGGGATCACCTGCCCCTCCAGGGCTGCTACGAACTCATCTCTGGACCGATGAACAGACATGCCTGGGGGGTCGCCTGGTTTGGATTTGCCATTCTCTGCTGGACTGTGAGTATTTCCCTGCACAAGTTAAGGAGAGGACTTGAGATTAACCCCTGGTTAATCCAGCCACACTAGACAGTCTGGAAACAAAACCTTGGACCTGAGGGCTAGTCAGGAAGCTGCTGGCACCAGACCAAGGACAGTGGATTCCCCTGGCAAGTGGGTGTTCACATCCCCTACCAGGGAAGAGATGGGCCCTACTAGCCACATCCTTCTTCAGGCTGATGGGGAAGCATTTGCCTGCCCTTCCGGCTCTCTAGATCTCATGAATTCATTATAGTTAAATACCAAACGCTGTCAGCTCCCTAGATGGCTCCTGCCCAGCATTGATCTGCGTTTGCTCCTTCCAAAGAGCTGTCTCCTCCAGGCTCACCTCATCTACTTTATCTGATATTCATGCAACAGAAAGGTAGGGCAGTGGTTCTCAGCCCTGGCTGCACATTAAAACTTCCTGGGAGAGCTCGGGGAAAAGAAACTATGCATGAGCCCCAAACTCTGAGATTCTGATTCAGTGGATCTAGGGGCAGGACCCAGGCATTTAAAAAAAAAAAAAGATTTTTTTTTTCCACATAATTCTAATTTGCTGTCAGGATTTAGAGCCACTCATTGCGTTCAGGAAGAAGTTCTAAACTTTTGGTTTCAGAACCCCTTCACACTCTCAAAAATTACTGAGGACTCCAGCAAGCTTTTATTTATGGGGGCTATATCTATTTATAGTTACGCTATGAGAAATTAACGCAGAATTTTAAAAAATACTTATTAATCCATTTAAAGTAACAATAATAAACTGATTACATGTTACTGTTAACAATATATTTTTGTGAAAAAAGTGCCTATTTTCCAAAACAAAAACGATGAGAAAAGTAGCATTGTTTTACATTTTTAAAAGTATCTTCGGTGTCTGGTTTTGATAGAAGACAGCTGGGTTCTCATATTTGCTTCTTCACTTCCTCTGTAATAGTATATTGCTTAGGTTGAAGGATTTTAAGAAAATCCATCCTCACACTGATAGGTAGTGAAAAAACCAAGAATGTTTTGATAGCCTTATCTAAACGTAATTGTGAATATTCTTTGATATTACACAAAGCTTGACAACTAGTAGTTTTTAAACATTAGTTGCAATGTGGATTCTAAAATTATGTCAACAAACTTTTCAGACTGTTATATTAAAATAGGTTACATCAGTTTGTCTTGAAATTTGCATACGTCATTTACCCGTTGGTGATTCTATTAACAACATGCATCGGTTATTTGGGAAAATATTGATTCACTGTGTTATGCTGATCTTCCAAATGTAGGCTGAATTCTCTATGCAATATCAATAAATCACATTCATTGTTATTGGATGACAAAAGCCAAAAGCCTGGGAACCAGCAGAGGTTCTGTATCCCCAGTGCTTAGCAGAGCACATGGCATGTGCTTGATACTTTGTTGAATGAATGAAAAATTGTAACAGTGAAGTTCCTATTCATTGCCATATTGGAAAGGACCTTAAGCATGGGGGTGCTATGGGCCCATCATGACAGAAACAAGTTTCCTGAGTTTTGCTTGAGTGCCCAAATTTATCACTGGCAACAAGTATTGTCAGTTGTTTTCCTCAAAGTGACAGACTCACTTTGTAAAATTTTGAGAAAATGTCTGCCAAACATCCAATCTGAATAACTGTAGCTTGTCTATTAGTCATTTTTTCCAAGTAAAAGTCGTGTTGCATGAAAAAATGGCTGGTTTAGCATACAACTCAATTACACGAGCGCTTTGCCTTCAGACAACCATCAGGTTTCACTATGCAACAAACTGCTTTGTGCATACTTTGTTTCAAGAATATTAAAAAAGATGTATATTCAAAGGTGAACACTTAATAAAATTAGTAATTCTTACTGCTTCACCAAAAACAATCTTAAAATTCTAAAACTCTAAATCTCTTAAGTCTGCCTTTTTTTTTTTTTACTGCAAGTACACAGCAGTGAAGAATACACTGACTACTAACACGGTTTAGTGCCTCTACCTTAAATCCTGCTAAGATGCCAGCAGTTTTACTTTCCACTGTTTTGCATCATCAGTACAAACGTGAAAACAGTAAAAAGGGAAAAAAAAAAAAAAAAAGTCTTAACATCGCTATGCAAAAGGTCTTGACCTCATGGATACCCACAAGGGTCCCTTGGGTGGTTATGCACCACACTTTAGGAAATGCTGGGTTTGGGGTGAGAAGCTGAGTGAGGCAGGCAGGAAGGGAAAATCATTTCCTCTGAGAAGTCATCGGTGGTCCCTCACCCACCCTCAGGAACTCCCACAACACTCTGCACACACCTCTGTCATGTAATGGTCACTCTACTACAATGGATTTGTCTCCGCCAAAAGCCTGGGAACCAGCAGAGGTTCTGTATCCCCAGTGCTTAGCAGAGCACATGGCATGTGCTTGATACTTTGTTGAATGAATGAAAAATTGTAACAGTGAAGTTCCTATTCAGCCATGCTAGCAGGAACTGTGGGATAATGTTTAAAGGCTCTCAAGGACCTTAAAACTCCAGACCAGTTAAAACCCTTGACATTTCCACAAGCCTCAAATGGACTCTGAATCTAGGAAGCCCTCCTGAATGAAATTCAAAAGAGGGAAGGGAAGGAAACCAAGTGTAGTGAGGACCTGCTATGGACAAGGTGTCATATCCAATGCTTTTAGCATTAAATCCCTAGAATAATAGCTAGGTAGGTAGCCACTCTCCTTGGTTAAGTTCCTCACTCTCTCAGTCTCTTCACTGGGTTCTGGAAGCACTCAGTGGAGTTATATGCATAGCACTCAGGACAGTGTCTGATGTGTAGTACGTAGTCAATAAACATCAGACATTAGTAGTAATGATATTTTATGATCTCATTCCATCTTCTAACTTGGGGGGTAGGTGAAGAAGATGGTACTATCTCTACTTTCCAGATGTAGGGAGGGAGGAGCAGAGCTGCAGAAGAACCCAGATATTCCAGCCCCTTGCCTGAGTCAAATGCCTTGAGTTCTGTGGCATTCTGCAGGGGCAGCCGCACCAGGTCATAAGCATTTTTGGGAAAAGAGGGAGTCCTGTGGGAGGAGAGGTTCAATAGTAGAAGGTAAGAAAATTGTACCTCCAAATGGTACATACGAGAAATAGGAAGCCACTGGAGGGTCATTAGCCCTGATGGGAAGAAGAAAGGATTTCCCCAGGGGGGCTAGTTTAGCACAGAGGTGAGAGGAGCAATCCCAGAAGACGGCAAGTCTGGGTGCAGTTTGGGACAGGGAGGTGGGAAATGGGGAAGGTGTGTCTGAGTGGCAGGATAGTTACCTCTGCCCCATGAGGTGTTATTTGTTTGTTTTTAGTTTATTTACTTACTTACTAAGAGAGAGAGAGAATGCAAGCAGGGGAGGGGCAGACAGAGAGGGAAAGAGAGAATCCCAAGCAGGCTCCATGCTGCCAGCGCGATCTCAAGAACTGTTAGATCGTGACCTGAGCCAAAATCAAGAGCCGGTCTTTTAGCAGACTGAGCCACCCTGGTGTCCCTGCCCCACGAGGTTTCTTAAGGTGAGATTACTCTTAAAAATTCAGCATCATCTAAGCCTGAGTGAACCTAACATCCTTTTCCCCCCAAGTATGAGATGTTTCTAAAACAATTCCTTATTTAGTTTTTGGCCTTTCTATTCTAGTTTTGGGTTCTCCTGGGTACCATGTTCTACTGGAGCAGAATCGAATATTAAGAATGAAGTGTCGCCATTATACCACCTTCCTCCAGCGACTCTGGACCGCGCGCTGCAAGCTTGCTTTCCCAGTATATATCTCACATCTGAGCCCTGAGGGGATGTGTGCATTCTTACTCAAATTACCGAGTCAGTTGGTGTGGTGTTCCTCTGAGCTCTCAGCCTCTCAAAATTCTCACTAGTGTTTTCAGCTTGGTCTGGGGTTCTGCGACATTCTTACACATGGTAGGAAAAGGAGACTTTAGAAAGATGGTAACTCCTTCCACCCCTGTTTATGTTTAACTTGGGGGCATAAAGACATCCACAGTAACCTGTGATATCGCAGTAAGCCCAAGTCTGTATCTGGAAGGCAAATATTTCTCACTGCTTTCTAAAAGAGACTTCCAAAGGCTTTTATTCACGTCAACTCTGCACAGGTGGGAGAACTAAGGAAAAGTTGGCCTTTGTTCTATGGCCTTTGTTCTTTGGTGCCTTTGGCCTTTGTTCTATGGTGTCTCCCATCTACGCAGACTCATGTGATTCCCTTAATGCCAACTTAGGACACCTTTATTCTCCAGGACAATATCCAACCTTGAGTTAATAGTGGTTGAAACTTCCTCTCAGACACAGCAGAGTGATATGTTGTGTATTAAGCTCAGTTCTCCCATGAAAAGTATATGGACTTTTGGGGACAAAGAAGGGGCTTGTCACATATTCACCCATGTCAACTTTTGAAACACCTTTCAAACAAGAGAGAAGCAAGCTGGCTATTAGCTACATGATTTATGGTGATTTCTGTTACTGTCAAAATATTTCTCTTCTGAACTGTTTCTATTTGTGGTCCTGAAAGAAATTCTTATAATTCAATATTTGTCTAGTCTTATAAATAAAGAAGGCTTTTAAATATGTTCACCTTGTTTTGTGTTTACCAGTGGCATAATTGGTCATATACAAGTATAACAAAATGAGTGGTCCAACCGCAGAGCCTTTTAGGCTCATGGGAATTAAAGTGTAGGAGATGGAAAATGCAATAGGGTGAGGTTTCCTGCTGGATACTCTGTAACCCTGCTGTGCAGTTAAATGGTTGGAACTTCTAAATTTACTTTCACTTTTCACTCCTGCCGCACTTAGCCCAATAGCAGTGATGGAGCTCCAGCTCTTCAATCCTTTTCTTCTACAAAGGAAGCATCTCAAACTTCCAACTGCTGAACTGTGTCCCCTAGGAAGGAAATGTATGTTTCCTTCATGGTCTTACTCGCAGATGACTCACAGAGTGCCCTGATCTCATGCCCCGGCCAGGTTCTGGTGAGTTGGGCTGAGCCCTGGGATGAGGGGGGGGGGGGGGGGGGGGGGGGGGGGGGGGAGAGAGGAGTGCCTTCGCCATGCACCTGCTGGTAAAACTGGGGTGACAGCCTGATCCTTAATTCCCAGGATAGGGGACCAAAGGCTCATGTCCTGATGCCCAACTGGCTTGCCCTCCCCTGCCTCACCTTATATCTCCAGGAGAGTGCTTGGGATGTCGGGATAAATGACACCTGTACTTGGCTGAGATTCTCTCCATGGTCTTTTAGAAGAAAGAGAGGGAAGGACCTCACTCTGGGCAAAGTTTTGAAATGCCTCTCTCATGTGTTCCGATGCCTTTTGCTTCTAGTGCTAACCAGGTTTTCCAGTGCCCTCACGCTCTCTGCTGACTGAGCAAATTCTGCCCCAAACCACTCCTGACTTTCCCTCTAGGGCTTCATGCTCCAAAAATCTACCTACAAAATTTCATTCTTCTTGTGATTTGATCTCAGCTAGGTTAAGGGAAAGCTTTGTACAGACTAATTCATACTAAGGAGTGAATGACAGCTAGTTCCCACTCCCTTAATCTTCTATGTGGATTTTTCATTGATAACTGAAAATGATTTCTAGTTGGTAAAAATCCAAGGCAGCTGTGGGAACAGGAAAGAGCTGTTGTGGGGCAAGATGGCCCGCCTGCTGCTCTCTAAATCTTACCTCCTGCCTTCTCTACCAAGAATTAACTAGAAAGAGAACATGCCTTCAGTTAGTAAGTGCCCCTTGTCACCTCTCCAGCTAGCCTTCTACCTGGAGCCTCAGCCTCATCTTCAGAGAAGGTGCAAATTCCACTGTAAATGTGGACAGACTTCGTTCCTCCAAAAACCAAATAAGGCCCCGAACTCAGGTACCACTACATCCAGGCCGCTAACACTCGGGTAGGACATACCCTTCAGCTGAGAGAATCCCAGACCTGGAGACTTCTCTGCACTGGAGAAGTCCAGCCACTCGGGACTGTGCCTTGTGCCCCAGAGGTCTTCAGTTTAACCTCGGGGCAGTTTCCACTCTGCCTAGTTTGGGCCTCCACCTTTCTCCACCTTCCCTGGAAGCCCAGCCTTCCTCACTTCCTTCTGGCTTCTGGGACTGTTAGTGGGACTCACACCACCATTCAGGCCCCAGGGTGAGGCCCAGGTCCAGCCTCACCAGACCAGGGAGAGTAGGAGCACCTGGATCTGGGGAGCTGGCAGGCTGCTGTGCTCAAGACCCACCCAGACAAACCATCTTGAGAAATTCCCACTTCTCCAACAGTCCATGGGCCTGCTTATCAGGTACCAAAGAGCAATTACTACCTAACACCAAAAATGGTCAGGCTAACTCTGGGGTAGGTTTCACTTGGCGGCAATGGCAGATGGGTCATCGCGCTCTCTTGGTTCGCCGATTCCTCCCAGGGTGTCACCCGGGCTCCTGGCATGCTGCGTACACAGAATGTTATAAAGCCCACTGCTCAGGTTTGTTAGCCCTGTAACTATTTTTCCTACATGAGCTGGAATACACAGAAACTGCTCCAATTCTAAGCAGCACATCAGATACTTCCTGGCTACCCATAAAGAAGAGAAAGAACAGTGGTCACGTGAATTCGGAAATCCAATCTCCTCTCCAAGCTCCACCCTACGCCCCCACCCAGCCCACTGAGGAGCAGGGTTGTGGCTGAGAAACTGGAAACTGAGCTGGTTTCTTATCTCTACTGAATGACCAATTGCCTTTCTCCTTCAGAATCGAATATTTCCTTCCTTTTGTCTTTTCTGCTTCACCACACCTAGATCCTTATCACCTTCTATACTTGAGACTCAATCAAAAAAGAAACCCAGAAAAAAAAAAAAGCCAGAGAAGACTAGTTGTAAGCTACTGAGTTTGCTTTCATGTGTGACATTTTTATCATAAGGCTTGAATGATCCCATCTGATGAGGAGATCCACAAACATCTTGGAAAAAGGCAGCATTGCTGAGAAATGCATAGTTCCCAGACCCTTCTCCAAGCAACCCTCCCCACAATCCCCAACCAACGCCCAACACACACACACACACACACACACACACACACACACACACACACACCACCCCTACCTTTGACGGAGACAAATAACCAAATCCTGGGGTTAGAGAAAGCTTGCCATCATGCCCTACTTTCTAATGGCCTCTACCCTGGGTTCCTGCTGAAAAAGAAAACAAGAGCAGCCCAACAGTCAGAAACTGGCCTGCACTCATACCTATAGGCAATCCTATCAGATGTAAACAATCTCACAGAACACCAACTTCAGATAAGGTCACATAAAATGAGGCAAAGCAAGTCCACTTCATCATTTTGTCCAAGCACAAGTACAAGGTCACTGGGCCACCTGCAAAATACCAAACACACCCAATTTGGCTAAAATAAGTGACTGCTATGAGTTTACCAATTACAGCTCTATTCTCCTGCTAGTCCCTATGAATAAAATGTAGACACGCTTATAGAATTGCCCCCGCTTTCTGACAATGTCCAAACGTAGAGCACACCCTGCTTGCTCGGGCCCTCCCCAAATGCCCCAACAAAACCCAAACGCCATAATAGGTTCACACTTCCTTTTTCTAAGACACCTCATGATTCCTTATGGCGTGTTCTCCTCACTGGGAGTCATAATCCCAATTTATTTACTGCAAAAGTGTTCCTGGGGGGTCTCTGAAGGGCGTAGCCACTCCAAATAACTGTCCATCCCTCTTTCCTTTCTTGGCATATTTGTTGGTTTGTTACCATGAAGTGGTTAAGAACACAAACTCTGGAGTCAAATATCTGGCTCCAAATCCCAGCTCTGCATGACTTTGGCAATTTACTCAGCCTCTTGGAACCTGTTTCAGGAAAACAGGTCTCTCCCCAAAGGAGACTGAGAGGACTAAGATATGTCAAGTGCATTAGAATGGTAACAGGCTGTAAGAGATGCCAATAGGAAGTTATACCATAAATCTGGTCTGAAGTACTCTGCTTGGCCCATAATCCCTGGGAACATGCCAACTAATGTCATGTTGCTTCAATTTATTATGATAAGCTTGATAATCAAATACGCAGTCCAAATTTACTGGCCCTGAAACAATAGCAATGAGTAATAGCTTTTTAGCAAAATTCCTACTCTATGGTGGAAGAACGTACTGGGGTAGTCCAGATAAGGCATTTTAATGGATACATCTCATGTACTGTATGTTATTTCTAGAACCCTAGCTACAGATGAGATCTCTGCCCTTGCTGCCATCACAGAGAAATTTCATAATCTCCTGACAATGTGATATTCAGGGTGGGGGAACATAAGATACTGGGGTCAAGAAGAATGGATTCAAGTGACTTATCTCCTCCTCTTACCAACTTCGGTTAAGCTACTTAACTTGAATCTGTTTTTTTCTTTGCAGTACATACACAGCTACAGGGCTACTGGCAAGATAAAATTAAAAAAAAATAAATAAAATCACACAGGTAACTTGGCCAATACAGAGCAAGCATTCAATTATTATTATGACCCACCCTTCACCAACCTCTCTTCCAAGGACGAAAATTACACACACACACACACACACACACACACACACACACACACGAGGTTTGATTTTGACTTTTCAACTTCAACAGTCATCAATGGAACAATGGACCCTTTGCTGGTACAGTCAAGCTCCCTGAGAGTGAGACCCTCTCAGCCAGTCCTCTGTGAACACCTTTCAGACCTCTGAGGGCCTCTTAGCAGGTATAAGATGGTCTTCAGTGTACTTAAAACCAGTGACGGTGGCAATAGCTTAAATAAGGTACTAAGGAATACATTTAAAATTTGGAATGTGATTGGCAAAAAAGTACTTATGAAATATACCTGAATATGTTCCATCTTGTAGGACACGTTAATGGCTTTTGAGAAGAACTGTGTACATACAAAAATTGGAGAAAGTAGAGGTTTTGAGTCTAGCAGAAAATATCTTTCATCTCTCCTAAGAGTCCATCCACAGAGCATCTAGGACCCCTCGAGAAACCTGTCCAATTGGGGTTTGAGTGGAAGTGAGGGGGCTAAGGGCAGAAAAACCAGGGAGGGAGTCAGGAAAAAAGTTCAGAGACCAGATGAGAATGAAACATACTTTTTAGATCACAGAAGATACCAAACTTCTCTGGGAAATAGGACAAAGATATATACACAGGAAAACTACCTTTGAAAATGAGAGAAGCCGGGTACCTGGGTGGCTCAGGCAGCTAAGCATCTGACTTCGGCTCAGGTCATGATCTCACAGTTCGTGAGCTCAAGCCCTGCTTCTGGTGAGCCCCACTTGTCTCTCTCTCTGCCCCCCATGGGATTCTTTCTCTCTCTGCTCTTGCTCACTTGTGCCCAGTCTATTAAAAAAAGGAAAAGAAAATGAGAGAAGCCAGCCCCCCTCCAAAAATTAAAAAATGAGAGAAGCCAAGATGCAGGCAATGTGGTCTTGAAGTCAGGACACCTGAGTGTGTGCCCTGACCCTGCCATTTACTAGCTGTGCCATTTCTGGCAAGTCCCCCACCTGTTCAGAACCTCTACTTCCTCATCTACCCTACTTATCTCAAGAGTCAACAGGATCAATAAAGTGTGCGTAAAAACATCACAAGAGCATAAAGAATCGTAAAACTGAGTGGAAGTGGAAGTGAGAAAAAAACCAACCCAAACTTTTAAAGGAGCACACTCTTCCAAGTATTTGTGATGTCCAAATAGACTGCACTCCTATAATCCTTAGCAATTACGGTAGGCAGATCTACAAAGCTCAAAAACCTTGGTCTCTTTGTTGCAGTTGACAATGAGAACATACAGGGCAGGTATTGGGGAAACTTGTTTCCTTTGAGGCTGAACTCCTCTGCCCAGCTGTGGAGAGAAGGAGGTGGATGGCAGCCATGAGCAGGCAGTTGTCACACCCCAGTGCAGGTAAAGTGGCATGGTAGAGAAATAGAGGTCCTTTTTTTTTAATGTTTATTTTTGAGAGAGAGAGAGAGAGAGAGAGAGAGAGCGGGGGAGGAGCAGAGAGAGAGGGAGCTGGAGAATCTGAAGCAGGCTCTGCACTGTCAGGGCACAGTCAGTGCAGAACTCAATGCAGGGCTCAAACTGAGATCGTGACCTGAGCCAGAGTCCGACACTTAACCAACTGAGCCAGCCAGATGCCCCAAGGTCTTAAAAAATTCTGTTCCACATTGAGAGGTTTCACAATGAGTCATTTCAACGACTGGTGCATTATATTGGTTGCAAGAATGATCTGAAGTACATAGATCTGAAGTACAGTGGTTTCTAACATTAAAAAAAAATGCAGATGCCTACTCGTCATTGAAAACACAGAATTTCCATTGTAGTGGCTATATTCTGTTGCTATTTAATAAAAAACTGAATTCTCAAATACGGATCCTCAAATTCCTTGCACGTATTATTCTCTTCCTTTACCCTCCCAACCATGACCTGGGACCCACAGCCTCCAAAGTGGGGATCCCCCGGCATGGGCTTTGGGCAATTACAACAGGGCAGTCTGCATATGATTATAATTAAGAGAATGTGGGGCAGCATGCTACAGATTCTGCAGAAAAGAGAGAGAATAGGAACATGAAAACCACCATTATTTTCTTTGCTAAATGGAGAAAAAACACAGCTTTTACTTGTCCCTACTAAGTTAGACGTAAAGCAGGCCAGCCCTAGGTAAACCTGTCCTATCTATAAAAGTTTAACGATTAAAGTGTCATATAATAAGGATGGATGGAGAGACCCTGGGGCACGGTTGCATTAATGCTTGCTTAAGAACATCCACATCTACCTTATTTATGTGCCCATTCACTCATGCGAACAAAATATTATTTCTGTTCTGACCCACAATCCATTTCCTATTACCTTCCTTAGATAATCCTTGCACATCCCTGCCCCCCAACCCCAGGAAGCTCAGCGGTATTGGTGGCTTCTCTCCCAAATCACTGCTGCTGCCCAAGTCAGTGCCCCGGCCCCACCTTCCTTATCAAAGGCTTCCCAAGCCCTGGCCTCCACCCCACCTATCCTATAACCAACCAGGTGCGCCCCAGAGGCCAGTCCTGCTGCACCCAGTGCTGATGGTGGGGAAGGAGCAGGCACAAGAGGATGAAGAGAACAAAGGCATGATAGGCCCAGGAGAGGAGATGCAGAGGCAGCTGCCATGGGCCTGCCGCCAGTTGACAAAGGGGAAAAACAGGAAGAAGGAACAGAAGGATACAAAAAAAAAGAAAGGGAGTAAGGGGACTCAGTCTCATTTGCTTGTAAACTGCTGAGGATTATGGATACTGAAATAAACACATCTACAGGCCTCAAACAACAGTGACAAACCAAGACTAGGCACCAAAAGCTTTTCCATATTTTACTACAGAGGTACTTTCAATCTATTATGAGTGAATATGTAATTTGTAAACAGCTAATTCATATCCTACATGTACAAAATCATTTTTACAAAAATACTTTAAAAACTAGTAGATAATGTGTTCCCTGCTGGGCTATTCCTGGGAAGACATGTCTGGGCAGGTGACCCCCAGGACAGGGAGCAGCAGCAGTGACCAGCACAACTGTGGCTGCTTCTCCATCACTGTCCTCCTCCCAGCCCTTCATCCTCAAGTTCACTGCATCTTGATTCTTCACCTTTCTCCTCTCTTCTGCGGCCTTCTTCCCACCTGGGGCCCAGCTCTTCAGAGGAGCGTGCAGGATAAATGAATAACAGGTAGACTTCTTCGTACCTTTCTACCACAGACGAGAACAATTCTGGTTCTCTGAGACATTCAGCAATCCTATTTCCTGTGGACTTTCTTAGCCCAAACTTAAATATCCTTCAATCCAAGTTCTCAAGTAGCTAGGCTTCATGGTATTCTTTGAATAGTCCTTTTATACTCAGTCCTTCAAGTATCTGTATTACAAGATTTAACCCTCAGGGGGAAAACAACCAAGAAAGCTGTCTTCTTCCAATTGTTTTACATCCCGTATTACTTGGAGCTCTGCTAAGAAAATACAAAAAGAAAAAGTTCAGCTCAATAATTAGCTGCAACAAGTTCTTAATGTGTGTTACTAGTCCAAAAATTATTGGTCTCTAGCCCAAAATTATTGCAATAAAATATTCAGTTCTTCCGAATGTGTCTAGTCCAAAATTACTGCAATAAAATATTCAGTTCTTCCGAATGTCACCAGAAGATCCAAGGTCACGTTATGCACCAGACCAGAAATCCACCGTGATGTTGGTATATAAAGGATTATAATCCACAGAGAGTAATTTATAAATACAACTAGTCAACCCATCTGTTCTCCAGACTTGTGACACCTGATGTAAGAGCTTCATCCTAAAGATAAAAAGAACAGTGTAAATGGTAATGCAAGAATTTAACACATATTTCCATTGCTTTTTGCCCTGCCCCCAAATTTGACAAAAACATCTTTGTCAATTATCGTACCATCTGGATTTCCTGCTGCAAAAAGTTAATTTTCCCCGTCTAAAGTAACAGGACACCAATGATAGCCATGTGTTCACATGTCAGACCTCATGTTAAGACCCTAGGGGCCCATGATGGGAAGAGTCAATGCACCCAGTCTACAGGACAGAAGGACGCACAAGTAACACGGACACAATGCAATACGCACCATCCATTGCTAACAGGTCCTTGGCTAAGCTTCAGGGTATCTATGAATCCTCCCATAGTGCTGTCTGTAGGCAGGAGGGTACACACCTCTCCTAAGAGTCTCAAACAAAATCAGGATATATGTAGAAGAGGATGAATGAAGCAGAACCTGACTTCGTGAAGGAGTCTGGGGAGGGGGCGCGGAGAAAGTAGACATGACTGAGGCTTAGGAGAAAGGTGCAGGAAAGGACAACCAGGCAGGGTTATCATCCCATGCAAGATGCAGAGACATGCAAAGCAGCAGGATGCGCTTCAAGAAGCAGCAGCAATTGCATGGCTGGAGCCCAGGGATGTGGGGAGTGAAGCATGTGGTGAGCTGAATTGGTCTCTAGGATTTTGGGGTGAAAAGCAAAACGTTTTGGTGACAGTATCAATGTGGACAGAGATCAGAAACACAATGAGCTAAGTAAGGTCAGAGAAAAATAATACAGTATGATTTCACTTGTATGAAGTTGAAAAACATATAAAACTAAACAATCTTTTTCACAGGGATACACACCTCTGGAAAAACAACAACAACAACGACAACAACAACAAAGAAACAGCAGAAATAACGATCATTATCACAAGTAATAATCACAAAAATTCAGGAAACCATGACCTCTTGGGTTGGGGGAAGGAAATGGGTGTGGGGGGGGTGGGTCACAGGTAACAAATATAATTTGGGTGGTGGGCACTACCACTGTTCATGGTACCAAGAATCTTCACACTTTTCAGACAGTTTGTAAGTATTATTTTGCATCTATTCCATAATTAATTTTTTTTTTAATGTAAAGAGAAAAATGCACTTCTATGGACAAAGACTAGAAAGACGCATGGAAAACAGAAGTAGCTGTTTTGTTAAAGTTGCAGATTCTAACACATGGGCTAAAAGCCTTCTTTTTTTCAATTTTTATTTTTTTTTAATTTAAATCCAAGGTAGTTAACATATAGTGTAATAATGATTCCAGGAGAATTCATTGATTCATCACTTATATACAACACCCAGTGCTCATCCTAACAAGTGCCCTCCTTAATGCCCACCACCCATTTAATACCACCATAGCGCCCCTGCCAACAACCCTCAGCTTGTTCTGTTTTTTTTTTATTTAAAAAAAATTTTTTTTTCAACGTTTATTTATTTTTGGGACAGAGAAGCAAACTTGTGAGCAGGAGGGAGGGGAGCAGAGGAGACACAGAGGTGGAAACAGGCTCCAGGCTCTGAGCCATCCAGCCCCAGAGCCCTGACAGGGGCTCTGTGAACTCACAGGAGACAGCGAGATGTCGTGACCTGGCTGAAGTCAGGGGCAGCTTAACTGGCACAATGCCACTTGGCCTGTTCTCTGTTTTAGAGTCTCACCCCACTTAAAACTGTCTCTCTCTGTTTTTATACTATTTTTGCTCCCCTTATGTTCATCTGTTTTGTATCTTAAATTCCATATATGAATGAAATCATATTTGTCTTTCTCTGACTGACTTATTTCACTTAGCATAATACACCCAAGTTCCATTAAAAGCCTTTTAATATTGTTTTAAAGTATAAGCTCTAACAAAGCCCTATAATATTTTAATACTGTTTTTTTAATGTTTATTATTTATTTTTGAGACAGACTGAGTGTAAGCGAGGGATGGACAGAGAGAGAGGAAGACACAGAATCCGAAGCAGGTTCCAGGCTCTGAGCTGTCAGCACAGAGCC